CGTGAGAGGGCGTCCGCCGCTCGATTGGCGGGACCGGGAATGTGGCACGGGTCAAAATCGAACTGGTCGATGTAATACATCCATCGACCGATCGTGCTAGTTACCGTGTCCTGCGTTTTGTAAAAGGTCAACGGATTGTTGTTCGTATTCCATTTAAAACGCAGACGGTCGAGAAGAAAGTGGCGCCACCGTTTGAGAACGGTGACGAACGCGAGTAGCTCTTTCTTCCTAGCGTCGTCGAGAGTGTTGACGAGAGGCACCTTTTGGGAGAAATACTCAACCGGATGCCAACCGTCCTCGTGACACTGTTCCAACATCGCACCAATACCGTATCCCGAAGCGTCCGTAGTCACTTGGGTGGGTAGGGTGGGGTCGTATATACGGAGGGCAGGTGCGGCTTGCATTGCTGCCTTCAACGTAGTGAACGCGCCACGGGCTGCGTCGTCAAACTCGAAGGGCACCTTCGAGGACTGAAGTCTCGACAAAGGAGCGGCCACTTTCGAGTATGACTCGACAAATCGCTTATAGTATCCAGCCAAACCCATGAAAGAGCGTACATCCGTCGTACAACGGGGTTCCGGCCAATCCACGATGGTTTGGATATTGTCTGCTAAGGGACGAATGCCTTTCGGAGTAACATAGTGACCCAAATACTCAAGCTCTTGCTTGGCGAACTCGCACTTGTCGCGGTTCGCTTTGTATTTGTCCAGTCACAAACGATTCAAAACAGCGCGAAGGTGTGTGATGAGCTCGTCCAACGTCCTGCTATAGACCAAGATGTCATCGAGGTAGATGAGGACGCTGCGATCGAGCAAGTCGTGAAACTCAGTCGTCATAGCTGCTTGAAAAGTTGCGGGGGCATTGGTGACGCCAAAGGGCATGACAACCCACTCAAAATGCCCGTACCGCGTCTTGAACGTGGTCTTGTACCGATCTTGAGGCTGGATTTCAATGTGGTGGTAGCCTGACTTCAAGTCCAACTTCGAGAAGTACGTCGGGCCGCCTAACCGCTTGAGGAGATTATCAATCCGAGGGAGAGGACCGGCGTTTTTTATGGTTTGTGCGTTAAGTTTGCGATAGTCGATGCATAACCGTAGATCTTTGTTCTTCTTCCGGACGAAGAGAACAGGTGCACCGTATGGCAAACAACTAGGGCGAATCCAGCCCTTGTTGAGAAGATCATCGAGTTGTATGCGAAGCACTTCGAGTTCCTCTTCGCTCATGCGGTAGATACATCCACGCGGAGGGACGGCGCCAGGCTCGAGAGTGATCCCGTGACGTATGGGCCGATCTGGAACCGTTTCGGTGGGCGCCTCGAAAACGTCTCCATGCTCGTCCAAGTGGTGAGTGATGCGTGGGTCCGGCGGTGACGAGGCTGGTCCGTCCGGCGAGGGGAGAGCATGCAAGAATACAAGGTCCATCTCCTCGACGTCCTTCCGAGCTATGGCGTCGCAAATTCTCGCAACGGAAACCACGTGACAAGCAATGGAAGTGTAAGGGGTCGCAACCGTACATGGGACTAACACTCCGTTCCGATCACGGATGTGAACGGTTCGGTCATGAAAGTTCACCGGATGATCGGCGCTACGCAACCAAGACATGCCTTGGTGTCGAGGATGTCAAAAGACACCGGCTCGCATGCAAGTGGCGCAAAGTATACCGGAACGCCGTCGACGCATCGGTCGATTGACTTTTGCGTGCGGCCGTCCGCGAGTGTAACTTGCGTAGGTTGCGTCTTCCTTCGAACGCGCGGGCCAAGACCTGCGCGGGCCATAAAGGCTTGGCTCATAAAGTTGCGAGACGCTCCGCAATCAATCAAGGCACTACATGTTGCCTTTCTGATTTGAATGCAGATATAGAGCAAAGGAGCGTCAGTTTCGGCGTACCTTTGGGTGGCGTACTCGCGGACAATCTTCGCAAGATAAGAGCGGAGATCGACAACCGCTACCCCGTCGTCCGTCAACGGAGCTGGTACTGTAGTGTGCAAATAGGAGCGTAGATTTGCCATTAAGGCGTTGCAATGCGGCCTTGGCAAGGTTCCGGTCGAGGGTAGAGGCATCCAAGCGAAGTCCTTTCTCGTGAGCGGGTCAAGCTCCTCAAATCTTGACCACGCCATCGAGTCCTCGGAAATCAGTGGCGAACTGACTGGATCACTTGCTCACGGTGTACAGGCTGCGCATACGCAATCTAAGTGCACGTGGCTCGGCTGGTCTAGTGGTGGCACCAGCTGGGTGGCATAATCCTCGTACGTAGCACGAGAATCAACGACTAACGCATGCTCCCCGGTAGTGACATCGATTGCGAGCAAGGCAACCGGTTCCGGCGGAGTGAGGAGAGACGTCGCCCCTTTCCTTGCGTAACTCAGTTTCCCGAGTTTGCTGGACGGGATACGAGTGTCTTGCCCTTTTCGGGGCATTGTGCGGTCAAATGCATGACGCCGTTGCACCAAAGGCAGTACCCGTATTTTTGACGGAGGTCATAGACATCCTTGGTTATCTTGTAAGCCGTCCATGGTTGCGCCCCAGTTCCCGTCGATGTCGGCTCTTGTGTCGCCTTGTTCTTCCGAACTCTCTTGGGACGCTTCGGCGGGAGCGTTGCGACAATTCCTCCATCAATCGAGGATGCTGCTGCAGGGTGGAGATCGATTGTTTCTTCAAAAATCACGGCATTGTTGTGTGTCGGTCGTTGATAGCCCTGCTTAGCCACATAATGCGGCTGGGACTGCTGTTCATTTGTGGCCTTGTCATCCGTTTGGATGACTAAGTTCGTCCGATCCAGAATGGTCTGGAATGAATCATAATCGTACTTGTTGCCGAGTGCCGACCGCAGTCCTGCGCATGATCGCTAGAAGAACTCGGATCGCTGATTGGTAAAACTCAAATCGAAGCCTGGTATGGTCATTATTTTCTGCCACTTAGTTGTCCAGTCTCGAGTTGGCATACTACCTTGAGAGCAGGTGTACACCTCGTTCATGGCTGCCTTCACGACGTTGCGAACCATGAACCGGGTGAGCCATAGCTTCTCGAACTCCTTCCACAGAATGTGCGTGTGGAGTCCGGCGATGGTGCATTTCTTGGTAACCGCCAGATGATTCATCCATGCCTGCGCTCCTCCAATCAGTTGTAAGTAGAGCGCCTTCATCATGTCGTCCATCGGGACAGTGCGGCATGATGCTTCCGTGAGGAAACGTTGCCACCATGTCAAGGCGTCCGACTTGTTGTAGTCGTCAAACTTGCTGATGTCGAAGTGCGGCATCTTGTAAGTCTTTGTAGCGGCGTCCGGTCTCGTCTGCAGCTTGGTGATGTCCGTCTTGATGGCGGCCACCGTGCTACTTATTGTGGCCGGGCTAGTGAAATCGCCTATATCGCCGATGATATTGATGACGTGATCGATGCGCTCGTTGAGCTGCTTCGTCCCGTCCGTCGTGCAGCCTGGCGCTGCTGAGGCCTTAGCCTCTATGTTGTTGATGCATGCGAGAGCGGAGTTCAACAGCTGCTACTGTTGCTGCTGCTGTGAAGCTTCGGCGCGGATGGCAGCCGTTAAAACAACAATGTCTTGCTGGTACTTTTGTCTTTGCTGTTGTTCCGTGCGCAGATGTGCCTGCAGCAGTGTGTTATTCCACATGATTCCTCTCATCATGCCCAACATCAAGTTAGCCAGGTGAGTTCTCTCTGCCTCCGCCGGTGTCGGATCCGCCTGGGCGTCCGAAGGCACAAAGACCATGCGTTGGAGGAAGGTTGTCCACTGATTCTCACTATGAATCAGGGACTCTGTGTTGGTGGCATTCCGTTGATCTCCTGCTGCTGCGTCAGCCTCAGCAGTGTGTCGAGCTTGGGCTGCCGCCTCATTGGCCAGCCGCTGACGTTCTAACTCTGCTGCCTCCTCTTGTGCCTTTGCGGTAGCTACGACATCTGTGAATGCCTGTACCCGCTGAAGGTAAGTTGCCAACGGCTCACCGACTCTTTGGACCGGGCATGCGGGAAGAATTCCGGTGGTAACCGGTACCATCAATGTTGTACTCGATGCCGCTGGAGTCGTCCGCCTGCTAAGTCTCTGTTGCTGAGCCTCGGTTCGTGGAGGTACCGTAGGTCGAGCACGAACTGCGAGCCTGGCACTACGCCGTGGCACTGCCCCGGTGTCCTGTTCCATCGACATCAGTGTGAACTGATGCGGTACTTGAGGTGGTCACAGAATACGGGGAGGGTAGGGAGAGTGGGAACAGGGGTAGAACAATCAAACAATACGCATAGTCCCCTGTCCCACTGATGGACTATAGACACCTAATCAAAAAAATTAATTTTCTCGTAACCAATTTTAAAAATTCGTAATAATAAGAATTAATAATGAATTATTTAATCAATAAAATCAATTAATGATTAATAACGCAATAAAATCCCTTAATGATAATCAATAAACAATGTTTGCACAAAAGATATCTTGATGATAATCAATAAACAATATTTGTAATAATGTTAATGAACGAATTTGAATTGTACTAAGATTAGGTCTCTTTAAGATCAATTATGGTCCGGGAGTTCACCATTAGTTAGCGAACGACCCGGAAGTCGCAAATTTGAGGGTCAGATTCGGAATTATTTGCCAACAAAATTTCGAAAAAATCCAGAGAAACAATACTCGAATTTCCAAAAACGTGAAATTTCGGGAATTTCCACCGTCAAAATCCGATTTTTAAAGGCCTAAATCCGTTTTCGGAATTTCTCCAACAAGGGAAAAAAAAAAAAAAAAAATCGCGAAAATTTCGGCCCCAACCCTAATTTTTCGCGTTTCCGAGGAATTTCCGGTATTACGGTTCCAAAACGTTCGAATTTCCCCAAGTTGATCTAAAACCCAAAGATTTTCGTAACCCTAATTTCCAGTACGGAATGAAAAACGGAAATACCAAAAAAAAAAATGAAATGTAGGATTTACAACAGAATGCCGAAGTTAAAAACGGACTGCTGAATGAAAATCAGAATGTCGAATTTCAAAAGGATACTGATTCAACCCTTATAGCGTTTTCAAATCAGAAATCCGAGCTTAATAAATTATCGGATTAGTATCAATTAATCGGAGCCTAAATAAACAATATATCGGAATAAAACAGAAATCCGAAGAGAGAGCGGGGACTGGCAGTGGGAGGGAGGAGATAAGCCTCCGACTCCCGATACCTCAGGCGGCTATTGCCACCGATATCGCCCAGTCGCCGTTGCTGCTGCTCCGCTCACTGCTGCTGCGCTGCGCTGCTCCTCGCTGCTCCTGCGCTAAACTTAGCGCCAACGCTGATTCGTGCTATACCATACCGCAGCGTAGCGTGCCGGTGGGTCGATAGCCTCATTGAGGCTGGACCGGTACTTTTGTACCCGTGGGGCAGAGGCCGGCCTCAATGCTGCGAGGCCTGGCCGTGCCCTGAACCGTCAAGATGGACGGTTCAGCCCCAACCGACGGACGGCAGCCTCAAGAGCGCCGCCAGGCCCAAACGATAATGTCGTTTGGGCTTGCCCGTCGGGTCTGGTCCAAGGTAAGGCCTTTACGGCCTGTAGTACCCCCAAGGTCGGGCCTTAGGCCCTACTGTGTCCCTCTAACCCTATGTCGGGTCCGGTAGGGCCCGTGTGGCGTCGAAGATGTAACACCAACACTCTCCCACACACCACACACAACCCACTCGGGCTCACACTCACACCCGTGTTGGTCATAGACCCCGCTAATACAGATAAGGGGTATCCAGAGGACTATCACAGTCCGTTGGCACTAAGTGCGCTGCAGGCGGCCATGGGGCTTGAACCGACAACCTCCTGAATGCCACTTGCATGGCTAGCTCGAGGCAAAAGTTGTTCAGTTTATTTTTCTGCAAAACATAGTTTGTTTCGGATTTTTCGATTTTTTTTTTTTTTTTTTTTTTTTTTTTTTTTTTTTTTTGCTGGGACCTTTCTCGGTCCTTGCACCGGCTGGCCACCCGGGACCCGGGCGGCCCGGCTGGTAGCCTAGATGTTTACTGTGTTTGTTGGATATATATCAAAAATGAAATGCTTTGTTGAGTATCACTGGTAATGTCATTAACTGTCAAGAATTCTGGAGCTGCCAAATAATTTTCAACTATTGAACAGATGGGATTGGATATTTTGTACATCTGGTAATTTTGTCCTCTTGCTGAAAATTTTGGTTGTGGTTCCAATCTGTTTGTCCAGCACCTTGAGGAGAGGAAGGCTAGTACGGAACAAACCTTTCATTTGGAGTTGTAAGTTTTTTTTTGTTTCCCCAAGCACACCCGCTGAATGTAAAAAAGTCGAATGCATATCAAATCTTTCACACCCGCAGAATGTAAAAAAAAAGGCGTGCAGAGCAAACTTTAATTCTAAGCCAAGTTATCGAGGTTGTTGGTCGGTTGTAGAATGTAAAATAGTCGTATGCAGAGCAAACCTTTCACGCCCGCAGAATGTAAAAACGTTGTATGCAGAGCAAAGCGTACATTTTTAAGGGATGTCAAAAGGGAACATTTTTTTTAGGCTTAAGACAGTTGCGGTGACCGTTCGGTCTACATGTTGCACTGCTGGAAATGGAAAAAGAAACTGCTGTCAAGGTATAGTGCGGAAGATTAAAACTCCATGATGTTCTCAACTACAAAAGAAGATATTTTATAGTCAGAAAGATTTAAACTCGATGATGTTTTCCGGTACGGAAGAAACTGTCTACTTGATTTGAACTTTCTTAAAATTTCCAAGACATATTTAAGGTGTTCATGTCTTTTACCACTTCGACTTCTTTAAAATTTCAGGCCATGAGAGCATTAGGGGGGAGGGGGGGTAATTATTTTTTTTACTTTTTTATTTAATTTTTAAGGTACAAGGAAATGTTTTCATCATGTTGACTAGATCAGGGTTCATATAATCTCCACCACTTCGTGACTTCGAAATTGTGAAAATTGTGAGGTGGTGAACATTATAAAAGTCTCGTCACCCTTTTTTTTATTGTAAGCGGAACGTAAAGAAAAACGGAAGGTGCTTTTATAATTTTCTTTACTCCATGATTTTGAGGGGAAGACTTGTTGAGTTGAAGAATGAAAATTGTAAAAATCTTGAAGTGGTGAAAATTATGAAACCAATCGTTTTTTCCAACTTTATAACGGCATATCGTGAAAATTGCGAAAGACTTGAAGTGGTGAAATTAGTAAACAGTAAACACATGGTAATCACTCGTACGTTTCCATTTCAAATTGTAACTAAGCAGTCCCTAAAAAATCATATCTTTGACAAAAATTATGAAACTCGCAAAGAGACTAAAGTCTTGAAGTGCATAGAATACAGGATATGACATGCGTCGCCTGATCAAAATCATGAAGGTAAAAGCTATTAAACACCAACCCTCACGAGCTGTTTTTTCTCGAGTTTCTTATGACCTCCTCCAGGCTCTCCCACTTCGTGGCAGTCGAATATCGAAGAACATACAATGGGAAAAGTCGAATTGTACACATTCAACGAGGAGGTTACGTCACTTTATTCGTTGCTATGAGGAAAGTGATTCATCACCTAGCTTTGTTTACCTTCTTGACTCTAGTTACTGGAAGTTTTGGGGAAAACCTATGTGGGGAACCTTTCGGGTTTGGGATGCTCGAAACACTTTCGTATTAATATTGCTATTTATCTATTTAGGTGCACTACATTTTATGTTATTTTCTGTAGATGTAGGTTCTCTTTTTGTTTGTATAGTTCTCATAAATATACCAATAATCTATATTACCAGTTGTCCGATAGCAGGACGTCCTGGGCGGACAGTCAGGGGGGTCCTGGACGTCCAGGCCCGGATAACTCCATTTTTAGCAATTAAAAGCACAAAAAGAAGAAAACAAATTGGGGGTGTCTTTAATTTTATTTTTTATTTTAAATTTGATATCGAATTTGGTATCATCCCATCGGACAAACTGCCCGGGGAGGGTGTCCGACCAGTTGTCCGAGCGGACAACGCTGGACGGTGAGGGGGGTCCCGGATGTCCGATCGCATAACCGAGCAATAATGAAATTCTCTATAAATTGGTGGAACACTTTGCATCAACCTTCTAGTATTAGCCAATGTGGTATATCAAAATCGTGAAGGTAAAAGCTATTAAACACCAACCCATTAAAACTGTTATTTATCTATTTAGGTGCACTACGTTTAATACTCTTTTTCTGCAGATGTAGCTTCTCTTTTTATTTGTACAGGTCATATAAATATACCAATAATCTATGTTACCAGTTGTTCGATGGCAGGACGTCCTGTGTGGACAGTCAGGGGGGTCTCGGACTTCTGGGTCCGGACAACTTCATTTTTAGCAAGTAGAAGCACAAAAAGAAGAAAATAAATTGGGGGTGTCTTTATTTTAATTTTTTATTTTAAATTTGACACTGAATTTTGTATCATCCCATCGGACAAACTACCCGGGGAGGGTGTCCGACCAGTTGTCCGAGCGGACAACGCCGGACGGTCAGAGGGGTCCCGGATGTCCAATCAGGTAACCTAGCCAATAATGAAATTCTCTATAAATTGGTGGAACACTTTGCATCAACCTTCTAGTATTAGCCAATGTGGTACATCAATACATCTTTCTATGCTGATACCCATCTTTCTGATGTTTACTAGTGTTTTGTTGTTAACTTATTAATAGTATTCTTATTACTTATTTGAACTTATTATTTATTGATTAGTATATTTATTCTTTGATTTTATAGAAAAAAAAACGAACGTAGCCAAGAGGCAGTGGATTGTGGCTTCATGATATGAGGGTTCAATCCCCGTCGTTCGCCTATATTTAGTGATGAATTTTTCTATCTACAATAATCAATTTGAATATAGTGATTTATAATCAATATTTTCAATATATATAATCAAAAATATATTAAATATATATAATCAACAATATATTAAATATATATAATCAATATATTGTAATAATCTTCAGGAGGACGACATCCGTTATGTGGCGTTGGAGTTACATCGCTAATCTTGGTTATAATAAGACCTCCTAATTGTAAACCACGTAACCGAAGGCTTTCCATAACCTAAACCCTACGTAGCACGGCGAACGTGTTCGCGATGCTTCCCGTCCGCGTGAACACGTTCGTGCGAACGGTTCCCGAACACATTCGTGCGAACGGTTCCCGAACACGTTCGCGAGAATGCATTTTCGGAGGTCGCGAACGTTGTTCGCGGGTGCCTGTACCGGTCGCCGGCGGTGGTCCTGGCGGGGGTTTTGAGGCCGTAGGGCCGGGTCGGGGGGGGTGGCGGTAGTCAGGCTACCGGTAGTTGAGGCTGGCGGCAAGGGGCTCGGGGGAGGGTTTTCAAATTCAAAATCCCTTCCAGCGTGCATTCCCCCCAGCTGGAGCAGCGCACAGAGGAGGCGGCCAT